GGTTCGATTCCCGGTCAGGGCACATGCCTGGGTTGCTGGCTCGATCCCCAGTAAGGGATGTGCAGGAAGCAGCCTATGAATGACTCTCATCATTGATGTTTCCATCTCCTTCTCTCTCTCCCTTCCTCTTTCTGAAATCAATAAAGATATATATATATATAAAAAAATCAACCAATGGCCCAGGGTGGGTAGCTCAGTTGGTTAGAGCTTCATCCCTATATACCAAGGTTGTGGCTTCAGTCCCTGGTCAGGGCACATACAAGAATCAACCAATAAATGCATAAATAAGTGGAACAAGAAATCAATGTTTCTCTCTCTCTCTCTCTCTAAAAATCAATTTTTATAAATGGGTAAAGGACTTGAATAGGCCTTTTTCCAAAGAAGACATGCAAATGGCAAACAAGCACATGACAATATGCTCACAATCACTAATCATTAGGGAAATGCGAACCAGAGCCACTATCAGTTACCACTTAACACCCATTAGGATGGCTATTGTCAAAGAAACAGAAAACAATCAATGTTGGTGAGGACATGGAGAGATTCAAACCCTTATATTCTGTTGGTAGGAATGTAAAATAGTGTAGCCACTGTGGAAACAGTATGGCAGTTCTTCAAAACATTAAAAATAGAACTACTATATGATCCAGTAATGCCACTTCTGGGTATGTACCCCAAAGAATTGAAAACAAAGTCTCAAAGAACTGTCTGTACATGCATGTTCATAGCAGTATTATCCACGATAGACAACAGATAGAAGCAACCCTTGTTTATCAACAGATGAATAAATTAAATGTGATGTATACATACAATATTATTCAGTGTTAAAAGGGAAGGACATTATGACACATGCTACAACATGGATGAACATTGAGGGCATTATGCTACGTGAAATAAGCCAGACATCAAAGACAAATACTGTATGAGGTACTTATATGAGGTACTAGGGTAGTCAAATCCATAGAAACAGAAAGTAGAATGGTGGTTACCAGGGGCTGCAGGGAGGGGCATGGAGAGTTATTGTTTAACAGGTACAGAGTTTCAGTTTTGAAAGGTGAAGAGTTCTGGAGACAGACGGCAGTGATCG